GTTAAACTCCAATGTCTTTACAAACAAGCCCGTTTGAAATGACGCACTGGAGGACAACACTGAAGCATTTATTCTTTAGATACTGGCTGAAATATTGGAACGAGTATGCCAAAATTGGACCAACAAGATGGACCCTTTGAGGCGCAGAGACGGTCAACATTTGCATGAAATAAGCTTCAAACATTAAATTATAAGGACTGTCGAACTAGTTTTGAAAAAAAATTCACGCATTTTTCAGAATTTTATGGGTTTTTTTTTTACTTTTCTACAGCTCTTTAAAAATAGGGTATAGTTATTGTTAGCATAGGTCATACAATTATTTCTTTCTGAGATTGTCGAGTATCCAAATCGTTGGTAATTTCGGTGATCTCGCTCACTTAGTCGAGGAGGGTCGTCTCTTGCAGTCTGAAAACCCCTTAAGTTCAATGGAAAAACATCGAAAATGACATTTGAGGCTTCAGCTTCGGCTTGAGTGCACCACTAGTGCTAATAATTGCTGAACTTTGAATTCTATTTAAAAGGCTAACGTTTGTGGCCATTATACAGCTGTCCCATGCAAAGGTAATGATCTCACTATAGATGTAAAGAACTAAAGACAGATCTTAGGTTTCAAACCTCAGTTCCTAATGAGCGTTCTTTTTCGTGTATATATGGCGATGGAGACCTTCTCATAACTGCTTGCTATGAGAGACTGGTTTGCGTACTAACAGATGGATAGACGGTGAGATGGGCATGGCTAAAGCAACTTAACTCGTCTTTGCGATCATATCGGCATAAATTTTGGTGGGTCAATCTCCTGTCCTTCTGATACTTCCATACTTCGGTATAAAAGTTAATATTATACATCATTTCATGGAAGGTATAATTATGAGATTGGAAGTCATGAAAAAAGGTAATGTTTACAAACATATTATGTATGTATGTATACATATCTTGGCAATTTTGTAATACCTTTCGGGGTTTTCTGTAACCACTTACCTTACCACTCAATCTTCTTTAAAAATCGGAAATGTGTATTTGGCTATGGTTTAGCCACAGCTGTTACAATAGAGCTTTTATAGAAAAAAATATATATTTACAAATATGTGTGTGAAAAAAATAATAATAAAATTTTTCTCTGTTTTGTGCCCAATTTCAAAAACAGCTGCGTAAATATAATTTTGAATTTGACAAAAAGTTTTCGATATTTCGAAAATTGTATGTCATATCCATTTGTATATATATGTATAAACGTTATTATTATAAGTCTACATTTTAATATAATTTATAACGGCCCTTTGGTGCAGTGGATAGCACATTGGACTTCTAATCCAAAGGTCGCGGGTTCGATCCCCGCAAGGGCTCAAAGGTGGTACATTTTTTCGTTTTTTAATAAATCACCAAATTTTTTTCAAACACTTACCGCTCAATGGGTACTAATGAGATTACTGATACTGGCCTAAGATAATTTTGTAAAATAAGGAAGCAAAGGCTCTCGTTTTCCAACATATACCCCAACAGTTCCACGGTAAGGACCATGTCTGGTTTGCCGGCGATTAACTCAAAAAAGAGATATCGTAGAGTCGCCTAGAGGCCAAATGAATAACAGCGAGAGAATAAAGAGGACAGCAAATTCAACAACTACTCTCAAATAGATGGAAATGCATATCCAAATATATATAAGAAGTCAAAGCAGATTTGAGCCCAATATGACAAGACCTGCGCAAAAGTCTTACTAAAATACTTGACATTACACTTGATCTGCGCGTATGGAGTTGGTTTTGTGTAGAGTGTTGTATTTGGATTTGATCTTTACCACCGTTTCTCAAGGCTCGTCTCATATTTAGCCTTAGGCAGCTCCCGCTCCCTTGTAGTTCGCCGTACAAGTCTAGTGGAAGAAAAGTTTAAAGGACTTTCTTACAAGTTAAAGTCAGCGCTCCTGAAATCAGTTCTCCGACAGAAAATTATATTTTCATTATATATGTGCATAGCTATGAGAAGGGGTTGAGGTCTTCCTCTTCTTCTGCTTTTACCGGCGAGTGCTATATCAAAACTTTCAAAACTGGAGTTTTCTTAACCCTACGGACCACATGACCTAGCCTGCGTCTCTTCATTCGCTGAACTATGTCAATATCGTCGTATAGCTCGTAAATTGCTCGTCGTTATTTCGTCTACGGTATTCGCTGTTCTCAATTTTTAAATGACCATAAATCTTACGAAAAATCTCTCTCTCGAAAACATCAGATTTCGGTATCGTCACTGTCGCCCATGCCTCTGCACCCTATAGCAGGATGGGAATGATGAGCGACTATTAAAGTTTGGTATTCGTTCGCCAGAGAGAATGTCCATTCTCCATTGCCTAATCATTTCAAAGTAGCACCTGCTGGCAAGGGTGATGTTCTCCTGCCGTTAAAGCATGATTTTCACATAGCGAGGGCGATAACTCAGGTTTTTAATGCTAAAAACGAAATTTTGTATGAAAAGTGTTGGAAATATAATATAATTGTTTTTTAAATTATAAATCTTTCCAAAAAATTCAATGAAGGTGAGATCCCCATTACAAACTGGTCATTAAGATTGAATTTCAAGTTCATTTTATTACTTGTTTACATTGCAATTCGAAACAACAATTAAATTTAGAAACAAAAGTCATAAAATAACCGAAGATAATTTCAAATTTTTACTAGATAAAAACCATAAATAATTTTTTGAAGCCATAAACTAGCCAATAAAAATTCTATAGCAAATCAAAGCAAGTGTAGTCAGAAATTACATACATATTAATGTGCATAGTTGCAGTTCGAAAGCAGAAATTTTATATTTTTTGTCCTTTTATTAAGAATCCATTTGCATGGGCATTGTTAGTGTAAAGATTTATTTCGAACGATGAAAAATAACAACGAAAAAGTTATGTAACGAAATTAATTTATTCAAAAAATATGAGTAACATTCATACATATTTATTATTGCTTTAAAGCGCACTAAAGAATTTATGACCTCAAAAAATACGAGCAACTCAAGTCACAAGCAACCTGAGTGACATTTAATTATCGCATGCAACACATAAATCTTTGTATAAAAAACAACAATTAATGTTAAGCATATCTTTTCTCTCTCTGGTTTTGTTTTTGTTTATTGTAGTTATGGCGCAACAAAAATTTCTATACAGCAAAAATATTAAAATTGTAAAAAGTTGTAGAATTGTCTTACATTTATTTATGTTAATATGTATATGTATATAAATATTCATAGGCGCTTGCGGTACTTGTTTTTCATAAACCAAAAACCAAAAACCAAAAAAAAAAAAAAAAACAAAAGAAAATATTTATAATCTTTTGTTTCTTCAATCAAGAGACGTCGATTTTTCATATGCATTTGTTGTAGGCGATGCATATCAGTGTTCTGAGTAAACATACATACATACATGGACACATATTTACGGGCAAGAAGATACCCTGCAAGAAATGTGTAGTCATTTGTGGATGTTGTTATTTATGGTGAGGCCATATGACCAGAAGAACAGTGCACCAGCTCCGGCCTGGTATCAGTCTACTCATTTCGGGAAATTTTCTGACATCATTTTTAAATAAATAAAGAAGGGCGTAAAAATCATGAAAACAATTTTTTTAAGACTTTGGTAATTAGAAGAACTGATTGCCAGATATGCATTAGGCCACAATAAATAAGCATATATATATATTGTTCTATTTTTGTACGAAGGCGGGCAATTCTTTCACCTAAAAAGTTCAGTTGCTCCTGCTAAATGTGAGCGCAATTTTTGAAAAATTTGTCGTCTTCTGCCCGAAAGCTCTTATCATATGCATAACAGGGTTCAGAAGTTTAATCTGGCAAAATGGCCGTTCAAACTAATTTTCCTAATTTCCAGAAATTGAAAGTAAATTTTCATGAAACTTTTTATGCTACGTCTGACTGTTACGGATAATAAGTATCCGAATTTCTCATTTTGATATGCAAATTGAAATTTATTAGTTGCTACGTCTGATGGCACCTTTAATATAGATATACATACATACGTATGTACATATATATACATATATGCGTCCCAAAATCCAAAAACAAGAATTTTTATTATTCAGCACAACAAAATTATTCTCGAAACCACAAACTTATATTTTTTTTCTGATTTCGAGAATCTTTAATTATGTAATTAAAAATATAATCCAAAAATTTGGTTTCTATCGCTCAATATTCTAGTAATACTCACCGAAATGCAATGAAAGTTGTACTCCAATATGCACAAGACCCGACCTACTTGACGAGTCTCATTCCATCATTTCATAGCCGAACATGGCTCGTATGGACAAAGCGATAGCCAACACTTAATTTTACTACCAAATTATTTATAGCCATTTTTATTGAAACACACTTTTGTTAACCAAATTTTTACAAAAATTAAATTCTATTCACTTCTCTCAAAATAAAAATACAATTTTTATTATTTTAACACAGCTTTTGCATTTAAATTCTAGAAAAATTCCGAACTTTTATTTCTGCACTGCTCATTACTCACTGCGAAATACATACTGAGAATATTTAAAGGGGGACAATCGGAAGCAGTGAGCATCGGAAACGGAAACGAGCTTTAGCTCAATACGCTCTCACTATGTTTGATGAGAAACACTAAGAGAAAGTGATATATTAAGAGTAAGCAACGAAAATTTTGCAAACATGAAATAGAAGTAAGAAAATATGCTTTTTATTATAAATAAAATGGCAACGTCGACATTTTTTACTTCTTTCGGAACTTAGCCTTATAGGTTTTCTCGACTATGGTTTGGTTACATGGTGATAGGAACTCCACAGGGAACTGTGTGGTTGATGAGCTAACCAGATAATGCTGGTAAACTCTGTTCATGATGTAGCCATACCTCTTTCATCGGCTAAGTATTTGTTAAGACTAGTCTTCACCAGAAGGTCCAAAAGCACATGGAGGAGTGGAACCACGTGCAATTGGCCGAAGTGAATAAAACTAAGTCTTTACTCTTTCTAAAGAGGACATCCATAAGCATAACAACCGGCTTTTTGACCGAACACTATGCTGTGGGAACTCATGGTGGTGGGATGGGCTGTTTCGAAACCAACTTCTCTGCCACTGCCCAGCTCTCAATGCTGTTCGTTATCGATTTTTCGGAAATTTCTTCTTTGTTTGCTTAAAAGAGCTGGCATCTCTAGGTATTATAAAACTTCAGATTTTCGTAAAATATACCAAGTTATTAGAGCATCTGGAAAAAAGAGAGAAATCTCCGAAATTTCCTTGAGACATCTCTGTAAGACTGATTTGCATTCAAACGTAGATATAGCAAATCCAGTAAACTCCTCATCTTCTTGAATTCGATTTAAATTTTGATGGGAGAATCTCTTCTCTGTATGCCTTAGACACTCAATGAAGTTCATTATATATGTGATGTGATATGCACATGTGATGTGATATGTTCATGTGATGTGATATGTTCATGTGATACGTTAAGTTGTTGATATTATGGTGCGATCTGCAAAAACTAACTTTGGGTTACCTACTCAGCAGTATAAATCTGGTCAGAAGCCACCAGTCTTCTCTTATATTAAGAGCTATCTGCAGAGTGGCATGTCAAAACTCTGTCATGATGATAAAACTTTGAGCTTAAGCATACTCATTAAGCGGCATCTTGCTGTGACATGACGGCAACTGATAAGCTTTCGTATTTAATAATCAGTGAAAATTCTGACTATACAAAGAAATCAAATGGCATTAAACGAGACGAATTCATTGCTCGTATTGATAAAATTTTCCTACAGGCCAAATACCGCCGGCAATTGCCCACATGGCAATTCATCCATATGCATGTGTTGTTGTGGAAATTCACATCAAGTTGTGACAGTTTTTAAGGCAGCTCGTAAATTATATCAGCCTTTGACGATCAACCGTCTTGTTGCGTGATCGATTTTTAACGAGCCACTGCGGCCATCATCGCTACCGCGTAGCCTACAATTGGATTTATGTTGTATTGCTGTATGTATGTCCTATGTAGACACTCATAGCCTGTGCGCCTTATCCGTTGCTTACACATCGCGTTGTGATTAGTTTTCCGCCACCCGCAAATGCCTGTGGAATTTCAATTAAAGCAATTTTCAACTACTGGCTTAACCAATTTATTTCGTATTACCCATATAGCTACATACATACCTTCAGACCTATGTTTGTATATCTTTGTATCGGTGCACAATCTGTGGCATTCAAACCTTTCTTTCTTTCCAGTTGCTGCGCTTCACTACGCTATGCTTTGTTTGTTGTGATGACAAAAATTAATTACAATTTGACATTTGACGCTTACAATTGTCAGCCTTTCGGTTACTGTTGCAATTACCTTTGTTGCTTGTTGTTTTGGCTGTCTTTTGTCTCTTAATGTCATGCCTTCATTGTTCGTTGGTTTGTATGTATGTATATCTGATTGTTTGATTGTATTATTGGATTAGTGTTTTGTGCGTGACACATTTATTAGATCACACAGCTGATAAGCTCGATTATAGCCAAGTTAGCCCCGCACTGGGCAGAGGCATGAAGGCATGTTCGGTGATGAAGCGTGCGATAATTGCTGAGCGTGAATATCGGTTTATGCGCTGGGCTTGATGTTTTGAGGGAAAGCAAGAAAGACAAATTATCGTGATATGACTTTTTTGTATATAATTTTATTTTATTTTTTTTTTTTCGAAATAACAGAACATCCATGACAATGGGATTGCAAAATTCATTTAGAAATGGGCAGAGTAGAAGTGTGGAGATTGTTATAGATATGAATCCTTAATATGAAGTGACCTTAGCAGATGTACTTGCAGCCATGTTTCGAGAGATATATAAAAATGTAGTAAATGGAAAGTTTGCACTTTTTGTACGAATAGGGAAATATTTTCATAGGCGTTTATATTTCTACTCTATTTCTACTCTCTCTCTCTCTCAAATAATTTTTGGTCTTAGTCCTACCAGGATTTGATCCTTCAGTGTGGCTAACCACTCGGCTACCGCGGCCGCCGAAGACCTAATTAACGGTAATTATAATTATCCGATATAAGTGAAATACGCATCGTTTTCTTCGATAATTTTATGCTATTTTCAAGGTAATACCATGATGCCTCTCTTATAGAAACTCTTGTGCTCTTTTGATGAAAGGGCTAAAAGGTAGATCCATAAAAACATCACAAATAAGCTCTCGGAGCAGCTGATGTCCAGTTGAGACACAGTTCCCCTTATGTTGGCCAAAACTGGGCCAAGGCAATATTAAGTGCGTTTCTGATCCTAGTACAGTCGCGTCAAGCTGTCATGGTAATTTAGTTTAGTATTGTTTGACATTTAATCATGGAAAGACTTACGCCTGAACACCGTTTACAATTCGTTGAATTTCTCTACGGAAATCACGCTCTATAAAGAATTCGTCTCGCGCCCTTCGCTTAACTTATGGTCAACATAATCGGCCTACTGAGCGTACCATTCGTAACACCATTACCCATCTTAATATCCAGCATTGATTATTGGAAAATATTCGACCGCACGCAGTGAAGAAAATATAGCGGCTCGGGCGGGAATTCGGGACGAAGAGCAATCTAAAGAAATTCAAAGTCCTCCATTACACAAAGAAAAAAGACGGTTTTGTGTGGTTTGTGGGATGGTGGAATCAGCGGTCCATATTTCTTCAAAATGATGCCACTGAGAACGTAAATGTCATTGGCGATCGCCATGATAATCGATTATTGGCGGCCTAAAATTGAAGCTCGTGATCTCGGCAACATTTAGTTTCAACAAGGCGGCGCTACTTCGCACATATTGGAACATTCAATGAATTTATTGAAAGAATACTTCGGTGAGCAGACAACGTTTTACGTCGGACGATTGATCACCAAGATCGTATCATATCATAGAGTTAGATTTTTGCTTGTAGGGATAGGTAAAATTCAGAGTTTATGCGGACAAACCTACCTCAATTCACGCGTGTAATTTGCCAGTTACCTGTCAAAATGATCAAACGACTCGTCGAAAATTCGTCTCAGCGGTAAGATCATCTAAGACATAGCCATAGCCGAGACCTACATTGATTTTTTTCCTTAACACTTAGGGATCATCGAAATGAATCATCCTTTATATAAAAGGCTTTGTTCTGAATGTCTGATGGATCAAGCCACAATTCGAACCACTGCTCGTAGAGATCTGAAACAGTGAACAGTGTGTTCTGCATATGACGTATGGACCGGATAAGAATGGACTTGCCTGGAAGTTGTCTTGAAACCGATTTACTGGAAGAAATCGAACTCACATTTAAATGGTTTGATTTGCCTGCAATTTAGTACACAGCTAACTCTTTGCATGAAATCATATGGTGAACACTTTTTCCTTGAGGGCAATCACTAGTATATATATGTATATGTGTATAAATATACGGAAACCTAAGAAAAGTGCATAGGCTTTTGGTAGCTTATATGTATGTATATTTATTAAAGCTTTTATTTAATATCCAAGTGCTGAAATGTTTAAAAACTTCCTTTCTTCAAATTGAAATCGGTTGAAAATGGCCTTTGGAAATATTCTGACTAAAAATTGAAAGCTTTTAATGCGAGAAGAAAGCTTCCATAAATTTATAAATTTTATTTTACTGCAGCATTAATAGTGCAAATATGAAGAACAAATATGAACATATAATCGCATTGGTCAATTTGTGGTTCGATATTCGATGCACATATACATACACGTACATACTCGTACATACATACTCGTACATACCATAAGCACACTTATTCAATTCTTATTTAAATATGTATGTATGTATGTGCACAAAAGCAATAAATGCTAACATTTATATAAATACAAGCACACAAACGAGCGTACATGTATTTATATAAATGCATACATATATGATATAGTTTTGCATTGCATTGCCTGTTGTAGATTGGCAAGTGGCATGTCAGCGCCATTTCATTTCCTGCTTTCCTTCCTCTCGTCTGCACAGCGATATTTGTAAAACACACTCACACACAAGTGGACATGTGTATGTATGTATGTATGCATGCATGAGTACATATAAAAATGCCACATGATTTTAATACTGCATTCAATCGCTGTAGTCTGCCAGCAATTCACTGCTGCATATGTGCCTACCCACAAACATACATACATACACAAACAAATATATTCACATATCCTTTGGCATTTTCTTGCCAGCTCACTTTTATTGAATTTATTTTTACTGTTTTTTAATTTTTGCTTTTGTCATGAATTTCATTTTACATTTTATTTACTTTTTACGGTTGCATGATGCATTTGACCATTCAAGAAAGGAAAACGGCAAGCAAAGAATGAACGAACGAACGAACGAACGGACGAAAGGACGAACGTAACCAGAGCGAAATAAAGCTTTGAAATGTAATTAAAAGTCATTCGTGCGTTCCTGTTATTTTTTCCGTAGATTAATTCCTATTTTACTTTGCCACTTTCCACGCTTTGTTCGCAGTAGTCGTCGGCAGCGTCGTCGCCATCGTCGTCGTTATCGTCGGGTGTTCGTATAAACTACTTTGTTGAAAAGGCAAGCGGAAATGTCGCCAGGTTTTTGTATGCCATGGACAGGCGGTGAATGGCTATTGTTTTTATGTATGTATGTATGTATGTATATGTGCATGTAGGTGTGCATGTTTGCGGTGGATTGCATTGCTGACATTGGCCTACACCCACAAGCACAACCACACACAAATGTGTGTATGTAAGTATATAAGTATAAATATATTGTTATGTATGTATATATTTATGTATGTTTGCATATACATATGTACGTATGTATTATGACAATTGCAAGTGCAAGTTCATGCATATATTAGCGTTTGCCCACACATTACACTCACATATTCATGTGGCTGTGTTCGTGTGTGCTCAAGGAGTTTCTCATAATCAAATGGCGCATTCATGCAATTCTATATGATGGTTAAAGAAAGCAACGGGTGGTTCTACGACAAGTTTTATAAATTAAAAATATTAATTAAAAATTTTTTTTATAAAATTTTAAATAATATATAAAATTTTTTTATATTTCTAACTGACCGCGTAACTAACACAAAAACTTTCAATTGTATATTTGTATTTATGTGCATGTTAAATAACGCCACGTAGAAACATAAAGTTGACAAAAATCCCCACCAATAGCTGACAACGAGCTCGAGCTTCCTCGAGAGACCCGCGTGACCTTGGCACAACTCAGGTCTGGATACCGTAGCAGGTTAAACCCCTACTTATCCAGACTAGACCCCAGCATATCCAACGTATGCCCTGCATGTGGAGAGTCTCCGCACGACACTGACCACCTCTTCACATGCCCTCTCAAACCAACACATATAATCTGACTTAGACTAATCAAACCTGCGCCTAAGCGGGGTTAGCGAACCGATACAAAAACAACAACATAAAATAATCGACATACACCCCCCTTTCGAGGAGTATGTTCTGTCTTCAATAGAACCTAAAAAGAGCTGCTTCTTCGCCGCAATATCTGATTTCGGTATCTCCGCACAATTTATAATGCTAGGGAAAATGAAGCAGGATAACATCAAAATCTCCATCAGGATCGAAAGGGTTTCGACGAGCCGCTCGTCAAATCTACCCTCTTCGGAATGGATAAGGAAGCGAGGCGAATGGGTCTAATAGGGAACGAGGAAAAGGCTTAAAATTCTTTCTCAGTGCACAATCATGCTGAGAAGAGAATATAAAAATGTGGAGCTGCATTCACTATTCACTTTATTTTTTGTTAGAAGCTGGGGTGGGCCAGCGACAAAGTTAGCCCTTGGATGATACAGTCTACTTTCGACGTAATTAGCTCTTTAAACCAATAGACTCAATTGTCCTGCTTTATCCGATGAACATCTTCCCTCGTTTATATATGTCTCTTATTGGTGTCTAAAGTGCACAGTCGGTGGGTTGTTTTTATTCTAGCCTTATAAACGATGTTCTACTCTGCCATTGCATTTTGTATGGCTGTTGAAACCTTCATGGCTTCAAAAGAGAGGATATCTCCTCTCCAGCAAGACGGTTCTTAAATTTGCCATCAAATTTCCCCTCCTGAAGTTCTGGATCAATACTTTTTTGATATTGAGCACACAAAACAATTTTCAGTCTCCCTCACTCTCGTCTCTTAATTCCACTTCCAATAAAGCATTGTTCGGCGGAAGAACATGAAATTATATTTTTCCGAAAACTGATATTTCAAATAATAACTAAAAGCAGTTCAAAAAGGCAAGGCGAAATCGGTTTTATGAAGCTTCATCTTTACTGAATTACTGAAGAGAGAGATAATAGGTCTAGTAAAAAGTAATCCAATATTCTCGCAATATATAACTTAAGTGATCTGTATGTCGCGTTCTATAAGTACAATGGGATTATCCTAGATGACGTAAGAAAGATAAAATCTTGTACTGGAGAGGGGAGAAATGTTGATCACTTAGCTTTGTAGTGTTTGAGCTCATATCAATGGCGGACAGCAAAATTTTTCTTCGATAAAGGTGAAATCACAGTCAAGGCAGCTGAAAATGAGCTTATGATGCTGACACTGCAACAGCCAAGCAAGAACAATTTTGAATTCAACGATTTTCTTCCGGTAAGTTCGA